AATTATAAGCAGCAACAGCAAAGGAGTCGAGCATATCAAGAAGCCGTTCCCTGTTCCAGCTCAAACTTATGCAAAATGACAGCCAGGCTACAGCCGGCCTCTAGCTGCAGTTGTAGTTGTAGCTATACACATAAATACACACACACACGCACATTCAGCTGGTAGGAAGCGCTAATGATGACGATGATGTACTGCAGGACGTGTTGGTCTTTTGCTCTCTGCTCGAGTTCAAGACCAAATTAAAATCAGCCAGAAAGACAGAGAGGAGCCAATGCAATTCTGGCTGCGACATGATAATTTTATGTTTTTACGTAATTATGTTAATAGATGGATGCTGGTCCCGACTCTACCAAACTATAAAATTATATCAAAGTGTTAATAATGTTGATAGAGCAACATAGGGCCAAGCCAAGCCAATGGCCACGAGCAACTTTTCAGAGTTTATGATGCTGCTACTGGCAGCTGCCACGCGCAGCAATCTACACGTAGTAAAAAAAAAATGAGTAACAGTGTTCCGATTGGGAGTGCCTGACTAATAGTTACCCTGGCATAACACACATTCAAACTAACTTTTATGTATATGTAAAGGCCAGAATTAAACTAAACAAATGTTGCTTGGAGAGAAAGAAAAAAACTCAGCCGTTGTTGGGCTGATGTAATGAAGTCTTCTAAATCGTAATGAATTAACATTAAAGCACACTTGAAGTCTCTGCAGATAAAGTTAAAATATGACGATTACAATCGCTCTTTGTATAAAAAATACTTATATTTATTTAAATTATTTGTGCTTCAGTGTGTTACACACATTTTAACAATAGCATTATGCCCGTTTTAAGAATTTTTTATGTCCGCAGGGTATTTCAGAAAATAAACTCAGCTCCAATCACCTGAGACACATGTGTGCGCATAAATTTTGCGCCGCATGCGGCACGACATACACCCCCCAAAAAAAAAGAGAGAAAAATATATATATATTAAAAAAAAATGCTTTTATGATTTGTCGCAAATTACTTTAGAAAAGTTTGGTGTTCGACAAACAACAATAAATCATTGGCTTGAGAGTCCGGGCGCATTTGTTACACATATGTAAAAGTTCAATGGCGCGCTGTGGCATGTGGTGCGTCAGTGGCAGAAAATTTAATTAACAAATGGCTGGCAGACCGACAAATGCAAATCAAACGCTTCATTAAACAGACAGCAGGTAGTCGCCTACCTGTGGGTATCTGTGTACTAAACATGTGTCTTACATTTGATTTATGACAGCTGATTAAAGCGACAAACGTTGCTTTACATCAAATTGATTAACTGCGTGAGTTTATCGAAAGAAACTCAACACACAGCAGTTGTTTACATGTTCGGCATAAGAATTGCCTAAAACAATTCGATGAACTTGTTGAAATGCCAGAACTTGAGAAGATTTAATAAACGTAAACAAAATATAGCCTGAGGCACTTCGATGTTAATGTACTGTGTGTGTATCTCTAATCATAATTATAAGCTACCCTGAAGAACGTTCGTTTCAGGGGATCTTTGTTTTAAATGCTGCCGACGTTTATCAAATTCTTGGAAAACAATGCCATAATTAATAGTTTATTGGTTGCCCAAAGGCATATACATACTGTACTATAGAGATTTAACACATCGAACTATCAACATTTAAATAATTAAGTTTTCAAACGCCACATAAAATTAAATACCCATCTATTTTTATGCACTTCACGAGGCAAATGAGTAGCCAGCCTATCTAGCTAAGGCCAAATTAAAATTGTACACGCGCTGATAACCTTCGGTTGAAATAGTTCTCGAAATTTTAGCTTTGCAGTGTGGGCTACTCGAGACAAATAGCCTGGCAATTTATATGTTTCCGTTGCCAGGACACATATTAAATGCGAGCAGCGTCTTAAGTTTCTATGACAACTAAATTGTGTTAGCGAAAAAGAAACAACAAGTAAAAAATGATGCTAGAGCCAGCTTATACAATAAAACTTGTCATACAAGTATCTGCATAGCTCAGCCTACACACTTATAGGTGGGTGTAGTTTTCGAAAGCGAAAAAGACACTTTTACAAGCTGACAACGGACGCCCTGAGCGATTGTCGTCGCAAATCAACAAGTGTTGGTCGAAACGGATGGCAGCACAGAAAATTAATTAAATCCAAATGCACAGACCATAAATGTATCAAACGATACGAAGCTTGCATAATGGTCCTGTCGAACGCAACATTCATTACGTATATCGCACTCTGGCCAGGACAGCTCACTTATTAAGTAAGCGGGCATTAAACCGCTTGCATAAATCACTGGCATATCCAGCATATCCAGAGGTCATTAATTATTGGAGAGGAATATCCTCAATACGAATACGAAACGAATATGTAGCAAATTGTGTTGGGTATATTTTTTTCTTTTTATTGCTCACATTATTCAATTATTGCTGGCATTTCCATTTTAAAAAATGTTTTAAAAGTAATATTTCTCGTCGAACAACGACAATTGAATGCTCTTGCAATTATATAAAATAATGGAATTTTTTCCAAATAATTATTTAATTTTATTATTGTCAATTTATTTAGTAAGCACACTTATGAATAGTCGAACATCATATTGCCCAGTTTGATATTTTCCTAAGATGTCTTAGGAAATCATCTTTAATCAAAGTAAATCTTAATTTTCGCCTCTTGAATTTAATAATTTTAAGCAAGTTTATAGCACACGGATATTGATATAAATAATATTTATTTAATAAATCCTAAAACTTCCTTTATACTAAAAAACGAGAAAGTAAGGATATTTTCGGCATACCGAATATTTAACACGCTTGTAGACATTTCCCTTATGCAGATATAGGACAATAGTGAATCTGTAAAATGCGGAGTTTGATGAAAATATGTTTGAAAACAGAATAAATTATTCGACAAATCATTTCTATGGCAGCTATATGATATATATATAGTAGTCCGATGTTGATAAGATTTTACATATATATGAAAATCACAGTGGAACTAATAATACATCAGAATCTACTTTGCGACTGATCGTCGTTTCGACATAAGTGCTGCCTGCAACAGAGATACGTATAAAGAAAACTGAAAGTGACTATATCATTGATTGATGCTGATCTAATATATATATATTTTATGGGGTTGGTGATGTCTTCTTCTATGTATTACACATTTCATGACATACCGCTGCCAGGTGAAAATATAAAACATAAACATAACTCAGCGCAACATGGCAATATTTTCGATGCGTGACACATGAAGTGACAAAATTAGAATTCCCTTCGTCAAAGAGCATAGGCGGACAACAGTTCGATGCGCAAACAAAGTACAATTGAATCATATACACACTGAGTGCGACTGCCAGTGCTACTGTGTCCCTCAACACCCCGTTTGGGGCTGTGTTGCCCGGGATATATACGCCTGTGTGTATGTGCTTGTGTTGCTTTCAGCACTCTCAGGGGGCAATATGACAATTAGTTACCAAAGCAACAACAGAAATACCTACAAATGACAGCAAATACACAGGAGACAGTCCAGAGCGGGGCAGGAGGCAGAAGGCAGAGGACACACACCGCATAACATGGCCGCATGGCAGCCATTTTGATGTCAGGACTAAACAGGCGACAGGCGGCAGGCACTGTGTGTAAGCAGGTGGCGGCGATTCTAAAATATGACATGGGGCAGGCAGCAGAAGGCACGGTGGACGGGTACGGATCCCATCACCATCACAATGGCACGTGCAGTTGATTTTTCAGCGAGGGCAGCAGGCCTCGCCGGAGCAGAGCGTTAGCTAGCGTTTAATTAGAAAATACGTATACGCCGCCTGGTACGTGCCGTGCCGTGTCACTGACGGGCAAAGTTGTTCGCACGATTCCTGTCAGCCAATTCATCAATTTTACTTTTACATTTTCACTGTTTTTCGAACTGCTGGTGCTCAATACGATTATGACTACATCATAACTCGCAGCCAGCTTGTTTTTCATTTTTCATTTGTTAAAGGCCCAGCAAATGTTACCAAATTGCTGCAACATGTTTTTTCCACTAACGATTTGACGTTTGCTGGCGCTTGGAAATTTGCCTAATAAACATAAATTATGGGAAACTTCAAAACTAATTAGTAGAGTTATTTATTACAATTACCTGTCAGCCAGCTAGAATTGAGTGCCATGCGGTACACACTAGCAAACATACACACACACACACACACTACACTCACAATCTGATCTGAGACCAGTCGTGCACTCGGCACCTTGTAACTATTCGAAAACTATGCTAATTTGTGCGTTTGCATCTAGTTTAAATGTCAAATGGGCGGCACAGTGGGACAACAAACAAATACCAATTTTACTCATATAAAATTTGTACAACATTTTCAATAGAAAATGTATATGTAAATTATTTCCTTTTGAGTTAAGCATTAAGTCTAAAGATTAAGCTTTTTGTATCTTAAGATGTAAGCTTTTTTGCGACCTGAAACGCATCTAAGTCAAACTTTAATCACCTGCTGGAGCTTTTAGTTAAGGCTTGCAAAACTACAAAGTTTTGTATTTTTTGTTAACAGAAGTCTAGTGGAAACAGGTGCAATAAATAACTGCTTACCTTTAAACATTACATATAATTTAATAGCCGCAAACTTTTCAAAACATTAAGCCCAACTGCGAAAAGCTAAAAACAGAGTCTTTTGGGCGGATCAAAGTTCAGATTTGCCCAACGACTTTGGCACACGGTAACATTTAAAAACAAAAAACTAAAAAAATAGAGAAAAAATATGGCGTTAAGCTGTAATGTTAATTAAAACTTTGTCTCAATCCCTCCATTTCTATGTTCTCGCATCGCCTCTATTTCTAGCGATTTATCTGGAACTGTGAGTTGGCGTTGAGGCAGGCAACTAATTTGCTACAAAGTTAATCACGTTATTGAAATGAAATCCAATTCGTGGCATTATTCTGAAATTCAAATCATATCGCATTTTATGCAAATGAGCAGCAAGTGAGCTAATTGTGTATTAATTGAATAGTCATAAGCAGTACATGTGTAATAGTGGGATAATGCCTAGCCCAGGCAGCATAAGTATACATACATATATAGATACAGCTAACAATAAAATGGTAAACAAATTGGCATACAGTCAATAAATGAAATGAACTATGCTGATAAACTGCCAATATCAAGTTGCCTACGCAAAATATACAAACAACATACGCTGCAAATGCCTCTATTTCGCTCTGCTCCACCAAGCTCCTCCTCTCTTGCTCTCGCTCTTTCTCCCTCCCCTTTTTCTCTCTCTCGCTCTATGCCTTAAAAGCAAACATCAATTTGCATAAACAATTAATCATGCAAAGCGCGAAACGTGCACCAAATGCTAAAACCTAAATATAGATGCAAAATAAAACAAAAATAATTAAAAACAAAAAACAAAATAAAATACAAAAAAAAAGCTTACCAGAAACTGGAGAACTTGGGAATAATGACAAAAAGAGTCAGTTCCAGAAACTGTAGCAGGTAAGCCTCGACACACCGAAAGAACGCTACGGCCAGAAATTCATAGAAACTGCCTTTTTATTATTCGGTTTATTTTGATACCCTTAGCCCATTGAAAACGTCTAAAAAGGGTATAATGATTGGGTGCAACAGTAGGTAACAGACAAAAGGATCTTGGTCGAACTTAGAGACTGAAAGGTCCAGAGACTTGAAATTTTTTTGTCGCCACCTGGAACCCCAATTCCGCAGGTGCCACGACAGCTGGGTTGTGCCTTCTATCTTGGTTTAGCAGGAGGCCTTTCTTAATCCTCTTCCGATCTATTGAGCACGGTACCCGGCTGTATACCGCAACTCCACATCGAGCAATTGCTCTACCCGTATTTGGGTGTTAAATTATATCAAATTTCGATTACATATATATAGACTATAAAGAAGTAGCTTACTCTGAGAGTAGCTCGAATATGTTACGTTTGAATACCTCCATTTGATTACTTCTCGAATACCTCCATTTCAATTCTTCTCGCATTTTTGCACTGTTATTAGGGTATCTCCTAGTCGGGTGCTCCATAGTGAAACCCTATTACATTTTTTTGTACTATTTTCTTTTTTTGTTTTTAATGCTGCCACTGCCGCATATGATTCAATTTTGTTTTCAGTCAAACAACTTGGCGAACTGAATAGCAGCGAGGAGCCTGCTTGAAGCTGGCTAGTTGGCCATAAACGTGGCCCAAAAGAATGCAGTCCGAAAACCAGTTTGGCGTACAGCCTGTGTCTCAAGCACAACAACGTGCAGCGTTTATTTATTTTTTGTTTTTGTTTTTCTGCTCAGCTACAACAACAAGTGAACCAAATTCTTTTTAACGAGCTTGCGCCAACATTTGATCCCCTCCTCCCGCCCTCCGCCCCTACCAAAAATGTGGGCATAGCCAAGGGTGCGCTCAACGCTCTACGCTCTGTGGCTGCCAAAAAAAAAAAAGAGCACAAAAAAAAATGGCAATGGCAATCCAAGCCAAGAAGTGTTAAAGCCAAGCCAAGTTGCTTCACTTTTTGCCTGTTCGTATCCATGTCCGTGCTCATATCTCGTGTCAATTTGCAAGCTGACGTTTTTTGTTTCAGCTTTTTTTTGTTTTTGTTCTCCTCTGTTCAGCATTTATTTAATGCTTTTTTTAGTTGAGTTTTGGTTTTTGTGTTATGCCAATTTTTGTTTTATTCGGCATATTTAATTGCTGGCGGGCACACCCTTTGCACACACCTCGTGACGGAGTTTTTCTTTTCATATTTCCTTTTTTTTGCACTTTAATTTTTTTTGGCTGACTTCAACGCTTGGTTAGGTTTCTAAAAAATGCCCAAGATACATGCAATCTGTTGAGCCTGGCCACTTAAAAATAAATGTAATTATATATTTATGAAATTAACTTAATTATGCTAAATGCATTTTATTATGTATAAAGTTGTCCAGCGCCTCCGACAATTTCTGGGCTTTGTCCGCAGAGCGGGGCATATAAATTAATAAATTATATAAATGTGCAGCTTACTTTGTATTCGGGAAATTTGCATTCATTTATTTCATGAATAACACAGAAAAAAAAAACACTCACACACATAACAGATATCCGCCAGTCAAAAATAGGCAACAATTTATCTGTAATTTTGGTTTTTATATAAATGCACTGAAATAAGCCGCTTTACTTTTAATAGGATATTAAGTCCACGTATTGAAATGGGAAAACATCTTTTTTTTTCGCCTCACAATCACACAATAAATGATGTATATAAAATTACACTTGTGCCAAGGCAGCCATTAAAGATAGGTTGAGATATATTTACAAGAATAAAAGATGTATGTTTTTTTTAACCTCAAGCTCATTTGAATAGCAGAGTCAGAGTTGTTTCCAAAATGTTGTACTCTTTTTGAAGATATCTTAAACATGAATACCGCATCACTTGAATCTTTTTCAAGCTGCGCCGAATGCTTCGATTATTTGGCAGACCTCGACTGTTGTATGCGCATTAAAAGGGGCACATGGGACGCATGCTGTATGGAAAAACTTATAGCTTGCAACATGACAACAACAAAACAAAAAATGAAATAAGATCAGACTGAATGAAATGGCAGAAAAATGTTTTCAATTTGGTTATTTTCACGGTTTTTGATTTGCACCGTGTCGGACAAATGCGACACTCCATTTTTGTCAATTGATTCGCCTGTCTGGGTCTTTCAAATACGCATTAATTTCATTTATTGCAATCATCATTGTCGCAGCGACATGGCAACCATGGAGAGTAGTGTAAACACCAGCACGAAAGTTAGAACGATAGAAGAAGAAAACTTTCTGTGTGCGGGTGTGTGTGTGTGTGGGTGTGGATGCCGCTGGCAAGGAGCAACTAAACTGGGGCAAGCAGCAAGTGGCAGGGGCAAGGCAGACGTTAGCTACTCGGAGCATGCCTAGGCACTGATTGTGTTGATTACGCTGACCCACTTTGCCTGCCAAGACTCAGGCAGCCAGTGGTCGGTGGGCGGTGGGCGGTTGGCGGTAGGCGGACGACTGACAGTCGAATTCAATGAACTCGAAACCTACTGATAATACGCGCAATAAAAATAACAATAATAATAGTAGTAATAATGTTGTTTTCAAATGACAGCAATGCCAGCCAAAGGAGGAACACACAACAGACTGTCACTCAAAGCTGTGCGACTCGTGGTCCATGCTAACTATTCCTGTATATATATATATATATATACATATCTGCATACATATAGATATATATGTGTAATCTTGACGGACAAAAACAAACTACTTGAAAGTCGCGCTTATTTTTAGAGACAGTCGCCGAAACTGTCTTTTTTACGTTGGGCCTCAATCTAGAATGACTTTGCAGAAGTATTGAAAAAACAAAATTAATATTTTCGATACGATCGTATCAAATAGTTCAGTTATTTTCCATTGGCAACTTTATGAGCATTATAGTGTCTGCTGTGGCTATTATGTGCCGCTCCCCCTTCCCCCACGCTCGACACCTAAACTGCCAATAATGTGCGTCATTCTAATGCGAATAATATCGAGTAAAGAGGAAAAAACATAAAAACAAAAAAGCACGAAAAACAACCACACAAAACTACTCCAATTCGGCTTACACATGGTTCTACTTCTAATGGACTTTATTTGTACTGTGAACTGTGACGGGGGGGTTGGGCGGCGGGGCTTGGGCTGAAATGTTTTTTGTGTTGATTGTGTTTATGCGAACAAAGCGGACACTGACCAGGTATAAATACCCATATACATATATACATATATATCAATATGTTTTTATATAAATAGGTAGAATCGGAAGGCAGTTACATGAGAAAGCAACGCTGTCGAAATTGGGCAGATATTAACATATGTGCGTATGCCTACACATACATACATATATGTACATCTGTTGAACGTGTAAAGGCTTATTATGTCTTGAAATAGATTGATTGCTTGTGAACAGCTTTGTGTCTGCAATCAATAAATTATAGGGTATATACTTTCAGGTCTTTGGTGGGATTACAAATAAATTAACGTTGTGTAAAACAAGCAATTATTATTTGTTTTAATGAGAGTTGATTATCCTCTGTAAATGGCATAATTTATTAATCTCAAATATAACAATAATAATAATAATAATAATAATAATAATAATGCTAATAATAATAAAATGATATTAATAATAATTATCTATTAATGGTCGATCAAACGAGTGTCAACCCAAGTATTTAATAGATTAGAATTGCATACTTAAAAACAAAAAGCCCAAACTAAATACAAACATTTCTTATGCCAACACCGACCCGATGGAATGTTTTAGAATGTTAATAAGTTAGAAAAGAGGCAGAAAAAAAGGTATGAACAAGTAAAGAAAATGGAAGTATGATATAAATGTCAACCTGATAGGATATAGAGATAACGATGGGAAATCACCGACCGGCGGGGGAAATTTATAGCCTGACCAGTAAGCTATGCCCCTACTCGTAGCTGAAAACAGCGGTTTTATTAGGGGTACAGAGAGTTCTATAGGGAATACGTGCTATAGTATATTAAATTCATTGCTTTAATACACGAAATAAGTTGTGCAATGCGTAGTCTCTCATGCAAATAAGAAGACAAATGAATGCTTATAATAATAGTATGTCAATTAATAGAATAAAATATGGACTACTTTATTTAAGTTGGTTTCTATTCAAGTTTTTAGTTGATTTCCAATATTTCTTAGTATTTTATAGTTATCGCTAATTACAATTTTTTAAGATAAAGATTTGTATTTATAATAATTTTAAAATCTTTTGCACAAACTTTTTTCTTGATATTGTCTACGAAGTGTTTTCTTAAACTAAGTTTGAAAACACTTTTTAACTAACTTAATAATAAAAGAATAATTGTATAAAATATTCTGTTTATATATACTTCCGCGATGTTAAATATTTATCTAGAAAACTTAAAATTATGGAGAAGCGGTATTTTCACGATGTTTTTTTCAATTAAATTGGTTTCATAACCAAATTAAAGACATAGCAATATATCTAGAATTAAATCGTGATAGTTTAGTTGGTAAAAACCTTAAGAAATGGGAAAATGCAACGTCAGGCTCAGTTAGCTGGGCAGTTCGGACTTCCAAGAAGTTTTCTATGGCCTTTTAAGGCTGCAATATATAAAAGCATCTTAATTAGGCGTGCCGCTCTACTAATTCAAAAAGTTTGAAAACTTTTCTAATGTGGCGCCCCGGCCACTTAAAATTCTGCCAACTAACTTCTAATAATAATAATAATTTTAATTTTAATTGCCAAACGGCAGCACTTGCGCATTATGCCACAAGCGCAGTGCGGAGTTCAGAACTCAAGAAGTTGGCGCAAATGGCGGCGGCAAATAAAAAAATAATAATAATTAAATAAAATAAAGCAAACATCATGCTGACTAAGGTGGATTTTTCCATGTGTTGTTTTTCTTGCGCCCACTTTGCCTGCCGACCGAAATGAGAAAAAACCAAGCTTTCCATTGAGTCGACGCGTCGTTTCGATTCGTTTTGCAGATGACGTACCAGAATCACTGGGCAGCTAATGGACTTACAAACGGACCAACAAATATATATAAACAGCCTACTTTACCCAATTTATAACAAGAGAATTATTATATGATGTGCTTCGAAATATCATTGATAAAGGGGTTAAGAAAAGAATATGTTAATTTAATCAAATGATATTCTTTAGCTAAAGATTTAAAAGTAAATGTTAAAGTGAGTATTGTAAAATTCCATTTCTTAATATTTATGTTTGAACTTTTTGGCCACGCCCAAACCCACAACCCCCACTAAAGTATTATTTAAATAAGTATAAGTCAAATACACTCAACGCTCTCACATTCAACTCTTTCCTTGTGTATAATAACAAACTACATCAAATATTTAAAAGTTGCCACTATTGCGGCTGTCGTTGAACCAGCGACTTCTCTCTTGTTTGTCCGAAATACAGAACCCTAAGCTATACAAAGTATTAACGTGACGATTCTACGTGCTTCGTTCGCACTCTCTTTGTTCATTTTATAACTATAACTATAATTTAATTTTTAATTATTTGAAGGGCTTTGTAAACAAGTAAATAACTATAAAAAAATAAATTAATAACTATATAATATGTCCCAATCTGATAATCATTTATAGACGCACAGGCTGAAATGCTTTTCCCAGTAATTGATAATTGTTGCTGATGTTTGATGAGCTTTCAAGCAAATTATGATGAGGCCATTAAGGCATTTGTTAGCAAGTTCAGTGATTTCAAAGAAAATGGAAAATTTCTTTTTTAGCAACTGGGAAAGCTGCCTGGGAAACGACAGTTGCAGTCTTTAAATGTGTCCAACATAAAAAAGAAGAGACAAACATCCTTAGAGGTATTCCCGCTCGTGTTGCCCACATTGCGAGCGCTTAAATTGAAATTAAATAATGCCGCACAGTGTGCCCTGTCAGAGCTGTCAGCAGCTGAGAGAGGGTGAGAGGGTTCTGGGCCGACGCAACTGTCTAATTGAACTAATAGAATTTGTTTTTTATTCACACCCGCACGCGTCAGATAAGAGCAGCTTTCGGGTATTTTTGCTGTGGCATGGTCCGGCCGTGCTGCGGGCACACGGAAAAATATGCTTTGAATGGTCGTTCTACCCCGTATCCGGCCGCTGTTCGCATTAAAAATTATGATTTTTCTTGCCACATTTTTACAGAGGACAGAGGGCAGCGGCGAAATGCGAAATGCTGCCAAATGTAATCATTGCTGCTTTTAGCTGGGTGCCAAACGCCCGAGGCGCAGCTCCACGCCGTACCTAACTGATTTCCGGGAATTGCTACACACCAACACACACTCACTCATACACACACACACACACACACGAGCACGTTTATCGTGTCCTTTTTAAACTTCAACTGCGATTGGTTGCTGCGGGGCCAAGTGCCGAAGATGTAGTCCTGGCGACCAGCAGCGGGCAATCAGTTTAAGCTGTCGAGAACTCTCAGAGGAGGCTATAAAGCGAAAAAATTGCTAGCAGTAATGCGTTGCAGGCAATTCGGAACATGCATGTACATGTTTGTAAGGCCACTTTAATCAGAGCATATATACTAAAGCACACATACGCACACGCGCACACACACACACACAGACACAGACACACACCCAAAATCATTGAACCTCGAGGCGAGGCTTAAAAGCCGCAAAGGCGCCACGAGGCAGCGTTGCTAGTAGAAAGATCCCAAGACCCAAAATGACAATCCCTCACATAAACCAACGAACCACTTGGTGGTCTCTGCCGCGCCTGCGGCTGTTCTTGGAGGCAGCTGTGGCAGCAGCATAAGGTCGTCATAGGCACTCTCGAGCAGTCAAAAGCAGCGCCAAATGTCGACGCATTTGTGGCAAGAGCAGAACCGATTTGCTATTTGTGTAGTGAACGGCAGCAATCGAAGCAGGAGGAGGAGATGGAGGAAGAGGTTGAGGAACAGCAACATCGGGAGGTTGGAGTTAGGGAGGCACTCAAGTTGTTATTTCAACTGTTTGTTGTTTCTTTTTGTTGTAGTTGTGGCAGCCACGTAATGCTGCTTGAGATGTCAAATAGCAAAGCGGCAGGCAGCAACAACTGCAAAAACAGGAAGCACTTGAAAATTGAAATCAAGCGCTGGGCGCCACCAACGCAACAGCAACAGCAACAGCAACAATAACCACAATAACAACAACACAAATAATAATAATTCTGCTTACCCAAAAAACAGAAAAAAAGCAAAAACAACAAAAACAAAACATTAGCAACAAAAGCCAGGCAGCTGAGCCCAAAGGTCCTCCAACGCAATTTGCATATGAATATGGAGGGCTCCGAGGCAGCTTTTGTGTTGCTACGCGGCACGCGGCTTGCAACAACAGCCACAGTCAACAACAACAGTAACAACAACAGCTACAACAACAACAACAACAACAACAACAGCAACAACAACAGCTACAGCAAATGATATGTTGTTTTCTATATGAATAAACCAACAAAAACAACAAGAAAGAGTCATGATGTGAAAGCTGCTGTGCCAATAGCTTATGTTGTAGTTATTTGCCGCCGGTAAAAACAAAAACAATAAATAAATATGTGACCTAATCGAGAGTGTACGACGAAAAGATACCCTTTAAAATAACGCATAGAGTAACTTATATATAAGTTTAATGATTAAAAGGATGAATTGGATAGTGTACGCAAAACCTCAAATAGATTTGATATGCATCCGATGTAGTTATGAGCATCTGTATGCCACAAGCTCGTAAATTTACAATCACCATATACTATATGGAGACGGCTGCGATTGGGCTATTTGAGATTTAAATTTGGGAAGTGTTGCTCTGATGTATAAGAAATATCGGGCAAAATGATGTACTTATTGCTATGGCATTACTATAATTGTTGACTTGTCTAGTGTCTGACTTGTAGCTTAGTTAATTATCCTTAACTCTTTTCTCTTAACAAATGCTGTGTGTTTGACTAAGATCAGGGACAGATATACAACCTTTTAAGTCACACTTTATTTGCTTATATACCAAATCTAGTCATAGCTTTTGCTTATGCGTCTCTTTTGTTCCTGAAAAAGTATATCTTTGTTTTGCTCCAGGACTCGACTGATATTACTTATTCTTAGATTAAAGAAAGATTAAGGCGTCGACTATAGTTAGTCTAAGATCCCACAGATCTGATCTCGCAATGTTTCCTACTAGTTTCTAGTTCAGATAAAAGATGAAAACTATTATGATGTATTGATAACTCTGATTACACTAAAGTGGTCGCATCTAGCTGCCAGCTCGAGCTTCTACAGGGTATACGAAAATCTTTAACTGTTGTTTTATGCTGTTGCTATGCTCCCAGGTTGCCTGTCAGTGGTGGGCGCTAGATGGCGCCACACGCCAGTGCTAAATTGAATAAAGGGCCTCCCAGGACAGACAGGAAGCTACACAACAACCTACACCCATACCCCACACCCCACACACACACACTCAAACAAACTGAATGTAAGGGCCCAAAAGTTATGTAGTGTACTCGACGCTACCTTCCTTTATGGGCGCTTGTTTTTCTAGCCGTTTCCCTCGACTTTTTTTTACTTTTTGGGTTGCTTTGAATTTAATGGAAAATTTATTGACGACATGCCGCTTAGTCGTTTGACTTGGACTTGGACTTTTGCCACACAGCATTTCCTCCTCCCTAAACTAAGCTATTGCTGTTTTATCATGTGTGCAAAAGTTTTCCCATTGGGGTTTTATGAACTTGCACATGCCCTGCACTTGACTGAACTAAGAGCTGCCCACGTATCTTGTGCGGCTGTGTGGCACAATAAGGGCATTATGTGAAATTGTTGTTTGCATTGATTGATTGTTAAATACTTTTAGCAATGCTGTGGGTAATTTGACAATGCTCAAATCTTCAAAGTAAACATGAAAATGTTGACAAAAGGGTCGTGAGAAGCGCACAAGCTTCGACAAGCGGAGATTGTGTAGAAATTGTGCTGCTTACCAAGCTGTTCACTTACCATAAATTAGAGTTATAATTTCGCTTAGCCAAATCAACGACGCAATAAGCTCGCAATGGCACACACACATGCGAAAGGGCTATTCCAAGTCAAAGAGCGTAGCAGAACGGATCAACCCCCAAGGGAAGCATACAGCCAAGGGTGGCTGTGTAGCCAAAAAACTTTTCTCGCGTGTTTTACCAACTTTAATATTTTATACTGGCGATTTTCTTTATGGGCTTCGGCCTGCCGCACCCCCTTCAAGTACACTCAGAACTCAACAAGTTCCATGGTTTTGGCTAAGGACACGCCCGCACGTTTGGCCATTAGTTTATGATTATTGGAGTTTGGCAAGGGTTTCTTAGACTTTGCAGCAGTTACTCACCTGTTGTCGGCAACTTGGTCAGCGTCGGTTGTCCATTGTCATCGCAGCTCAGCAGCAGCAGCAGAATTTCAATTATTATAATGACAAAAATGCGTCGATTGTAAAACAAAAACATTGCAATCTGGCGTTAATTTCCGTTGGTTTTTCCAGTTTCGGTTAGCTAACCGCAAACGCAATCGCAATTATCTCTTTGTTGGTTGTATTTTTATGAAGAACTCGATTTCCTGCTCGTTGCTTTCAATAGCTTTGTTACTTTTGAATGTTCTTCTTAAGTGCATCTTCTTATTGTTACTTGCATTTTATGCACACACACACGCACACATTTACATTGTTTATGTGCGCGCTGTTACGACTCTTCTCTGTCCTTTCAATCTAAAAAAAAAAACAAATTTGATATTCTTCGCACTCACACACACACACACACATGCACAGCAAATGGCGAATCGCTGTGCCACGATGCGCACACAAAAGTATGCTAATATATTTTAGCTAAGTTTATGAAACATGCATAAATATTTAACGCGTGCAACAGTGCGTATACGTTATTTGCTTAACAGGCCGCAAAATCCTGGCGCCAGTATCAAAATATGATTTGACATGAGCGTTGCGTATGATGAAATTTATGGCATTGGGCTCTAGTCTATCGTAAGTTAAGTATAAAATGCCCTTAACTGAATTTGAAATACGAGTTAACCTATACAAAAGTAAGCGTAAGAAATATATATTCTTGCGATTATTTAAACTAGTTTGTAGTTCTACAAGTTCATATTTAACAAACTGGATTAATTTGGCAAAAGAGCCTAAGCAAATGTTAACAAAACATCTGACAAAAGAACCTAATAATATGCAAAGTAAAGCAGAAGTTCAAGAGAAATGAATAAAGTTTAAAATAAAAATGTTTACAATTAAATGAAATAATGTATTTTAAAAGAATTATAATGCTATTAATATCAATTAAATTGAAGGAAATTATGTAGCTATATTTTTCGTTCAACTAGTTTTCCATGACGAATGAGTGTTATTTAAGGGAAAAATTAATAAATATTATTAGTTTTGCAATTCATATGAGAGAACACCCTCTATTAACTTGTTGCACCTACTGGAAAGTATGACGAATCTCTAGAATTGAGCCCAATCTATAGCGATGCGTCGCCCTACACTGCTTTACTCTGCTTCGCCTGGTCCTTGCTTTCTACTGTTTGATGTGTGTTGTATGTGGGGATTTGCCTTGTACCGCAAGACGCACACGACTATGGCAAGCTCTGCTTGAGCTTCACCCACTCCTGCCACTTCATTATCATCATCGGAATGATGCTGCGGCGGCGTCTGATGATGCCATAGCAGCCCGGGTACATTTCAATTTCAGAACCAATGCTAAAGACAACAAGTACCCGAAATGCGCGTGTATCTAGCTGGAGTGCACGAATTTGCGCGGCAAAGGAAAAAAAACAAAATAAGAAGAGAACGTCGCATAAATGAATGCTAAAATATATTTCGGCAATGCTGACATTGCCATTATTGTTGTTGTTGCTACAACTACTATCAAAGGCTTTGCGAAGAGAGTGGAAAAAAGTACAAATAAAGCAGATGGCGTCGTCAGCAGCGACGGCAACTGCGACTGCGACGCTGACGCAGCAGCCGCTTCCAAAGTTCTTTACATACATACATACATGCTTATACTTATTTGTCTGCATGTGTGTGTGTGATTGTGTGTGTATTACATTAGCTGTTGCAACGGAAATATTTTGCGCTATTGTTTAACTTTTCTCTGCATAATATAATATATTTTTGGAATGTAGGCAAAAATGCAGAACGACAATTTCAAATTGTGTGTACATATGTTTTTTTTTTTGTGGTTTTCAGTGCTCAAATTTAATATTGGTTTTTATTGCGTAAAGTTTGCTCATTGTTTAAAACTTGTATTTATTGCCATTGCCAACGCATTTGTGTATTTGAAAAAGTTTTTAACAAAAGCAAACAACGTTTTTCTCCGTGGTTTTTCGCTGCCGGCAGCAACTGCAAAACAACAACAAAAAATTGCCACGCTCAATTGAGAGATAAGGAAGAAGCGCAACGGAAATCATATCGGGGTAGTTGAGAATTATATAAAACAAATTTGACTATGCGAAATACGCGCACACACACATACACACCAAAGCGCTCGCACGCACACGCACACGCACACACATGCACATGGTTAAAAGTTTGTTTTGTGATGTGGCTGCGGATGCCGGTCAAAATTGAACGACGACGCAAATTTCGATTTCCTCGAAATTCTACCTTGTTGTGCCTTCTATTATGGTTATTCTTCGCGTTCTTGTTTCTTCATCATCGCCATTCACATGCTTCATCATAAGCATTAGCCGTCATATACATTTTGTACATTTGTTTGCAAAACGACAACAGCAGCAGCAGCAGCAGCGGCAGCGACAGCGACAGCGCAGCTTACTAAGCTTTTTCTGAGCATCCACATTCGCATCAGCAACAGCAGCAGCCCACTCTCACTTTGGTTCTGGTCCTCTGCTGATGTTAACGCCAACGCCGACGTCGCACAGTGTATTTCAAGCAACAAAAAAGGAACAACTCTAGTTTGGTAATTTGTTTACATATGATGAAAAAATTCTTATTGTAGGCACAAACTAATGTCTAACGTGTCAGATGGCATACGTTTTTCATAGATTCCAAGTTAAGCCTAATGATACTAAATATTGACAAAAATATTTCTAGAAAGATTAATATTTTTCAATTGAAATTAGGATATACATTGGTTAAATATGAGTTAATCTCTGGCTTGTATTCGAAAAAGAATTATTTTCGAAGACTTATTTTATTTAAATTATAATTTAAAAAGCTGGCACTAATATGTTTTAATATTTAGATAGATAATGCAATGCATCAAATAATTCATTTCTGCACTTGCGACTGCTTTCTTTATTTAGCCTAAGTTGAAGTTTATGCATTTTACGTTGAATATTAAACGTTCAAGCAAATATACATACATATGTACGCTTGGTTCTATTATTTCTTAATCAATTTGTTACACTGTGCGACGTCGCTGCTGTTTTGCTCCTTGTTTTTGCTACGCTTTCGCTTTGTGTTTGTACGCCGAGCTTTAGCTTTGGCTTTGGCTTTGCCTGCTCGCCTGCCTGCCTGCCTGCTACAACTGCCGCTGTTGCTTTCATGGCCTTGTGTGGCTGTTTCTGTTGCTGTTGCTGTTCTTCTTGTTGTTGTTTTTGTTATTGCCCAGTATGTCACTGTGTGCGTGCGTGTGCTTTTTTGTTCGACAGCAGCCTTTGTGGCCTGGCCGAAGAACTACTACTGTACTTGGCGGCTTTCACAGCCGCAGCCGCAGCGGCAGCAGCAGCAGCAGCGCCGCCACAGAGCACACAGTCGTGTGCTTTATTGCGTTTTATATCCTTTTTTGTTTGGCATCTTTAGCTCGTGCGTTCATCGCTGTCTGTTTGCATGGAATTTCTCATTTTAAAATATTCATTTTAATATTTATGCCTATCGGCCTACCCCTCCGCTGGCGCACAACAACAAACACAGGCACACGCACAGGCACATTGACGGCGACGATGACATCGGCACGCACTTGATTTCTTTGTTGTGATGCCTTATTATGTCATAATTTATTTGCAGCAGGACACCAAAATCAACAATGCCGGAATTTGCAGCAACAGCAGCAGCAGAAGCAGCAGCAGCCAATAATGAATCACATTTCATTTGATTTGCAGCATAAAAACATAGCCCATGTGTCTCTTTTTATCTCTCTTACACTCTATTTTTCTCTCTCATTCTCTGTTTCTCTCTATGCGTGTGAGTGTGTGCGTACGCACTGCACCGGCTTTTGTTGCCGCCATCGTCGCTGCCTGCGCCCCCGCTCACTGCTGACGCCATAGCTTTGCTTTGTTACTACCTTTGTTGTGTTTTTTGCATTTCCGCTTTATGTTTGTATTTCGCTGGCTCAGCCTATCAATGCTTTTTTATTTGTAATTTTTGCACACACACACACACTCTCACGCACGCCTTAGCATTCGGCGACATCAGCGTCGACCGCTGCCGCCGCATAAATCAACAAATTACAATTATTTTCACTGTCGCTCTCGGAATTATTTTGCGGTTTTTGTTGTTATTATTTAGCATTTTTGTTTGTTGCTTTATGGCACTCTGCGCGTGCAATAACAAGAAGATACACACGCACACAGATACGAATATTCGTCAGCGCCAGTCGAAGCGCCGCTTGAATATTTACAACGCTGCACTCAGAATTAAAATGCGAACTCGACTCGCGACATCGCCAGCGAGCAGCAAACACGTCCAAACAGTTTGTACGCCATTCGTGTACTGGGAGCTTTGGTCCGAACTGGCGCTGCCACTAACATGTTCGCACACACAATACAACACACACACACACGCGCGTACAGAGAGCAGTCATACAGATACTCGTAAGCTTGCGTTTGCCGGCGACGTCGACGTTGACGCCAACTTTTGTTTTTGTTTGCGCTGCAAAAAGAAGAAACAAAATTCAATGGCAGCGTCAAAAGCTCGCCACCATGAATGAAAGTTTGCCATAAGCGAAACGGAAGAAAAACGATGCACAAAATAAACTGACAGAACTTTCAACGTTGAAAGCGTTGTTAGGCCTGGCGTTGCCATCGTATATAAAAATGCAAGAACTTCAGATATTATTTTTTTGCTGTTCAATTGTATAGGGTCTTGTGCTTCACACAAGCAATTAACCTTAAGAAATCTATTATTTCAAAAGAATTGCAAATTTGTCAGAAGTGGAATACGATCTTTAAAAATGCCGCAGTGGCGGGCAAATTATTTTAAATATAGATAAATAAGTGTTAAGGTAGGTTTTGTTTTATTTCAATTTATTTAGCCTTAATAAGGCGGTCACATCATTCTAAACAATGCAAAGTATCGATATTCCATATGCACTGCTTGAATTTTACAACACTCACTGTGCTTATATAGCAGCGAGCTTTTTGCTAAGCAAGAGCTAAGCGGTCTTTTTGAAAGGAAAAACCTTCACGCCGAATATGAAATTAAAACCAAATATAAAATTTAATGTAGTTTTATAAAAATGACCATGTGATAAAGTTTTGTTTTATTGGGCGCTCACACTACATAGAATTCATGCACTGATTTTTACATTTGTATTTATTAATAATTACTTCAATTGTTTGACTGTGGATTGATTTTGAATATGGTGTCAGATTGTTTTATGGTATTTATAGGTAACTAATCCGTCTCCGATCGTGGCGAGCGTGTTGATTGCTTCTTGGACTTTTTATGCTTACGCTTTTTGGCGTCGTGGCTGTTGCCGCGACTTTCGCGTCTGACGCGACTGCCCGATGGATCGTCCTGGTCGTGTTCTTCCTCCTGCAGCTTCTTTAGTGTCTCCGCCTTCAGACGCTCCAGTTCATTTAGCTCACGAGTGGTGCGTTCTTTTTCAAGTTCGTCCTGTCGCTGTTTCTCGGCGCGTCGCTCCTCCTCCTTGGCTATTTCCTTGCGCATATGCTCCTTGAGCAACAGAGCGGCCTCTACCCGCTTTTGCATTTTCTCGCGAGCTGCTTTGTCCTTATCCTCGGGTTCCGAGCCAGGCACGGCCGAGGAAGCCTTTGGCAGACTCCGTTCCCGCGAGCGACGCTCTTGGGAGCGCTGGCCACGTCGCGGCCGGCTGGTGCTGCGTGAGCCGCTGTGCCGCCGGCCACGACTACGACTGCGTCTTCGCTCTGGCGATCCATGGCGCTTGCGACTGGGTGAGTCTCGTCTCTTTCGGTCCGGTGAATCTCGTCGCTTGCGCTCCGGCGACTCTTGCCGCTTTCTAACGGGTGACTCTTGCCGTTTCCTAACGGGCGACTCTTGTCGCTTCCTAATCGGTGACTCTTGGCGTTTTTTTTCTGGTGACTCTTGCCGCTTTCGAACCGGCGATTCTTGGTGTCTGCGACTTGGCGACTCCTGACGTCTGCGCTCGGGCGATTCCTGGCGGCGCCCACGACTGCGAGAGCGTCGCTGGCGTTCTCTGGACCGGCGGCGCTCCACAGGCGAGCCGCGGGCGCGTATGGGCGAGAGCGGAAAGCGGTTGCGGTATTCGTTGTCCGGAGACCGTTGACGTCGATCTCGATCGGCGAAGGGATTGCGACGGTTGCGGTTAAACTGATTCTGGCTCATATTGTTGTTAGTATTATTACTATTATTACTATTATTATTGCCCTGGCGTCGCGGAGGCGAGCGCTGCTGGCGACGAGCCGGAGAACGTCTGCGTTGAGGGGAACGGGATCGACTCCTGTGCCGGTTGCGCGAGTTGGAACGTTCTCGACTGCGCTTAGATCTGTCCCGCTCGCGGATTTTGTCTTCTGCCTTGCGTTCATCTCGCTTGTTGCGACTTTCTGCTGGCGGTTCGACCACCTTTGATCGTTCATGTTCCTTTGCAGAGGACGCCTTGGACTCGCTGTGCTTTTGGGTTGACTTGCTGATCTCCGGCTCGGGCTCACTATCCGTCTGCTGTTCGTAGTCCAAGGCGTTCATATCAACGGATTTGCGCCGCTTTGGGGGTGCTTCCTCTTTGGGTTTTTCCTTTTCGCGCTCTTTATCGTGACTTTCCTTTGCCTTGCCGCGTTCTGACTCTTTCTGCGAATGGGATGTGCCCTGCTTGGCATTGCTGCCGCTCGACTGTTTCTGTTTCGAGGGCGATTTCTCGGGCGTCACCTTGCCGCCGTAGGTGCTAGCGTGTGACAGCTCAAAGAAGGACTTTTTAGGATCCTTAGAGGCCTCCTCGTGCCTTTTTTTGCGCTCCTGCTCACGACGCCTCACCTCCTCGTCGCGCATCTTGTTCTCCTCCTCCATGCGCTCCAGATCCGACAGCTTGATGGTGCGCTTCTGTGCATGCTTCCAATGCGGCGGCGTTATGCTCTTCGATCGACTGCGCGAGGGCGTGCGGAAGCGCTGTGAATTAGAACAATCTTTATTTATATAGTCTATATACATGAGGCTACATTTTTTGGTGGGATTTATATGTTGCTTACAAAGACGCCACGCCCCTTGACAATGCGTCCGCTGCGCGAGGTGGGCACCTGCTTCTTTGACCAGCCAAAGGCGTTACGATTACGCTCTCTGCCCCTGTCGCGATCATCACGCTCCCGCTCCCGATCACGGTCGCGATCGTGCTCGCGTTCACGCTGACGTGCATCACGAGATATTTCACGGCCTCCGCGCTCCTCACGGGAACGTGATCTTTCGGCGCGCATTAGGAATTTATTCGAAACCTGCATAAAATAGAGATCAGAACAGTTTCAGAGGGCAATCTCCTGAAAGGAACTTCGATGCGTTGTCAAAACAAATCAGTTCGGGATTCCAATTGAATATATGGTATCTTCTTTAGTTATATATCTCGAGTTTAATTTATACCTCTGGTATCTCGCTGGGATCAATTTTTGTTAGCGTAACCAACGGATGTATCTCGCCCTCCTCTTCCGAGTAAATCTGGCGTCCATTACCGCGGGCAGCACGTCCCGAGTCGCTGCTGCAGTAGTTAATCATAATATTTGAGATTAGGAACGCATTTAACTTGGGAATTAACGTACTTTTCACTGCCGCTCGAATTGGACTCCTTGCGTGAACGCTTCTTCTTAAGCTTATCCTTGCGCTGCTTGACCGCAATCTCATCATTGTCGCTTGCCGATTCCTCCGATGCCGTGGAACGCTTTCTGCGTTTCTTCTCCTTTTTTGCTGCTAAACATTGGGACACGAAGTTCAGATACATGATTGACAGTTAACTGAGCTGTGACTCACCCTTTGTTTGCTTGACCAACTCGCCACAGTTGGCTATGGCCGCATCCTGCAATGGGCGCGAATTGCGATCAATGGGCAGATCCTCTAACTGACGCACCAAATCCTGACCCGATAAAACCTGACCGAATACAACATGGATACTGCAAGTTGAAAAAAAAGACAGATATTTATGGATAAGTATTGCAGCTTATGTTTGGGCCATTATGATTGTAGGTTAGTTGCAACAAATTAAATTAGCTAAATTAATTGAAATTATATTTATTAAAATAGTAAAACGTTCAGTTTTTTAAACATTTAATGAACATAATAGTATTTGTTGATCTCGTCAATCAAAATTCAAGCTTTGTATGGAAAGTTTTCCAATTTATTTTAATTTTAGAGAATGATTTTGAAATAAATATTTAGATACCATAAACTTCGATATATTATACAGATAAAAGTGTCATCTTTTGTATTAAAAGAAATATAAATATATTAACTGTATTGTGTTTTGGGGAACTTGGAAGCATTCCAAAACTATGTAAAGTTTTGACAGTTCTTTTTTTTCTAGATTTAATAACTCATTCGAAATTTATTTAAATGAAAGTGAAAATAACTAATAAGAAAACTTACTTGTCCAAGTGTGGCGCAGGCTGTGTTGTACTACAATGAAAAACAGAAGAGAAGAAAAATATTCTTTACACATTGCAAACTTGTTCAGGTTGTTGTTTGGTTGTTGGTAGCGATTTGTTGTAGTTTTCTACTGTTGTTGTTGTTGTTGAGCTGTTGTTGCTGTTGCTGCTGTTGTTGTAGTTGTTGGAGAGTTGGTGGAGACAATGTTTGTGCAAACAGCAAACTAAAAGGTATCAAGTCGAAGGCGACGACAACTGCGACAACTGAGGCCCGTCTGGCTCGACTGCGGGTCATCTCATCTCTTGGGGTCATCTCATCGATTGGGCTGTCGTCCGGGCGCCCGGGTCCGGGTACAGCTGTTAGCCACAAACTCTTTTATTGTGGCTGCGGCTGTCAATGTTGCAGCTGTTGCAGCTGTTGCTGCTGTTGCCAAGGAGAGCCGAGTGAAGGAAGACGGCTTCAGCAATGCCAAGGTGCACCCACTGACAGACACACAAACAGGACACACACACAGACACACGCACACACACACTAGTGCGTACGTATGCAGAGGCCGGCGTTGGGTTGAGCAGAAGGGAGTGAGTCGGTGTCGGTGTCGCTGTCGTTGTCGGTGGGTGCTCAGTCCGCTGGTCAGAGATATTGCATACACTCGCTATACGGCAATAGATCAATGAACAACAACAGAATTTTAAATATAGATAAACAAAGTACAAAGCAAAATAATTATGTATTCATGAATTCATGTTGTTTGGCTGCAAGAGAAACTTTTACTTTAACTAATACACATGGATTAAACAGGCAGGATAACATAGCTCAAACCCAAAAGAAGGGCGCCACAACGAGCCCACTTACATAAAGAACTGCGAGCCGTTTGTGTTCTTGCCGCGATTTGCCATCGACAGCAGAAAGGGACGATCGTGCTTCTTGTCGAAACATTCGTCTGTAACAGAGATTGAAATAATTAAATTACTAAAATATATATTATTAAAAACAATGTTATACTGTCACAATGTATCTGATCGATAGTACTATTAATATATGTATTTAAATACTTAATAGAATGAAGAAAAATCTAAAAATAAAGAATTCCTTTGTATTTCAACTTTAACGGCCTTTTCTTATAGCTAACAAACTAGCCGGAAACAGCTAAGTTAGCTATTTATGGAGTCTCAGTGAAGAGTGCTACCAACCCTGTTTATTGACAATTTGGGCGCAGTAAGTTAACATTGCAACATTAAATGTAGCTACTTTTTTGAAGCGGCAGTTGGTAACACTGGCTGCAAGACTCAGAATAAGCCTGATTCCCTTGAAGAGTGTATACTTTAATGGTTCTTTTTTGTTGCAGCTACAGAGAACTGAAAGGCTGACAGTTGTATGTCATGTTGCGGATAATTTCTATAATCGTAGTATCATTAGGTGTAATTATTTGTTAGCACTTTGTATGTATGCATGCATATATACACACACGAGACACATGCATATAAGCAGCACTCACACACGCACAGGGAGAAAACTTACCCTCGAATGTGCCGCCATAAATTGATTCGCCGCCGGTACCGTTGCCTGCACTAAAATCGCCCGCCTGCACCATAAAGTCCTTGACCACACGGTGGAATATGACACCTTTATAGTGTAGTCGTTTGCCGGTGACAAGACCGGTGCCCTTTTCACCCGTACACAGAGCTCGAAAATTTTCTACCGTTTTGGGCGCAACATCGCTAAACAGCTCGAACACGATGCGACCGACACTCAAGCCGCCGAGCGTTATATCAAAAAAACAACGCGGACGCGTTGCACTCGCGTCCCGCTTATTAACCGTCATATTTTCAATGAAATGCAATCGATTTGTGTATTTTTATTGATACGTTTTTACGTTGCACAACTTTTTCTTTTGCTTTTTTCTCTCTTCTGTGATGAACCCTGCGTTTGCAAACTAACAGGGCTGCCAAACAATATACAGAAATATTTATCTGCCAGGGCTGCAAGCTGTGTTTGTGTGATGCGCGACACAGGTCCACCTGTTCCTAGTTCGAAAAACTGGTTCCAAACGTTGGCGGCCTGCGATAAGCAATTAGAAACTATATAAAGCAAAATTCACTGCTGAAGTTTCTTTTTATATATTTCTTCTTATCAACAGCTAACTCAGTTTATCTCTCAGTTTTCTGTAGCTTTAAATCTTCATTAATTTATGGGTACACAAATATTTATATATTATATATATTTGAATTGCACAGACACAAATAAATATTTTGTTTTTACAGCACAAAATTACGAACAAAGATCTTAAAAATGCAATAGTGCTCGGTATATGTATAGATATATATATATATAATTGTTCAGCTTAGACTAAATATATATATCTTAACGCTCCGGCAAAGAGTCCATCCTAAGCGGTCAATAAAATGGAATTGTTTTCGATCGGGATTTGTGTGGGATTTGTCCCGTCTACTCGACGGTCACCGACTTGGCCAGGTTGCGTGGACAATCGACGTCGCAGCCGCGCAGCACGGCAATGTGGTAGGAGAGCAGCTGCATGGGTATGACGGTGAGGATGCCCTGCAGGCAGTCCACGGTGCGTGGTATTTGGAGGGAGCGCGTGGAGAAGGCCATGGTCTCGGTGTCGCCTTCCTCGCAGATGATGATGGGCCGTCCCTTGCGCGATGTCACCTGCTGCAGTGCGTTCATGCACTTGGTGTACACCGGATCGCGCAGCACGATCATCAGCACGGGCATCTCATCATCCACGAGCGCCAGCGGGCCATGCTTCAGCTCGCCAGCCAATATGCCCTCGCTGTGCATGTAGGTCAGCTCCTTGACCTTCAGTGCGCCCTCCAGGCAGGTGGCAAAGTTGAAGCCGCGCCCCATGATCAGCAGCGACTTGTGCAAGTACAGCTCCTTGGCCAGCAGCTGCACCTGCGAGTTCAGCTGCAGCACGGTGCGTATATGCTTGTCCAGCTGCGAGAGGCCGGCAATGATCTCCAGCCGGCGCTGCTGCAGCGACAGCCTATCCTCGGACATGACCAAGGCGAACATCACCAGCGAAATGAATTGTGAGGTGTACGCTTTGGTGGAGGCCACGCCTATCTCCGGGCCCGCATTAATGTGCACGCCGCAGTGCGACTCCCGACAGATGCTGCTGCCCACCGTATTGGTGATGCCCACGATCAGTGCACCACGCTGCTTGCAGTAACGCAGCGCCATCAGTGTGTCCGCCGTCTCGCCCGATTGCGAGATGAAGAAGCAGACATCGTCCCGGTAAATGGGCGTGTTGCGATCGAGGAAGTCGGATGCCAGCTCCACCATGACGGGCAGTTCCGTGAGCTCCTCCAGCAGCTGGCGTGTGGCTACCGCGCTGTGGTAGGAGGTGCCACAGGCTATGAGCATGAGGCGCCTGCAGCGCTTGATCTCTGGTATGTACTCCTTGATGCCGCCCAGGACCACGGTTTGCGTGTCGAAACGGACGCGTCCGCGCATGGTGTTGACCACCGATTCGGGCTGCTCAAAGATCTCCTTGAGCATGAAGTAGTCGTAGTTGCCCTTCATAATCTGCTGTATCTCCATTTTCAGCGTGATTATCTCGCGCGCGTGCGGATCATCCGATGATTTATTGAGGCGATGTATGCTCAGAGTGCCATCCCGCTTGACGGCAGCGACATCGTCGTCCTCCAAATAGATGACGCGATTGGTGTGCTCAATGACAGCCGAGGCGTCCGAGGCAAAGAAATACTCGACCTCCTTGTGCTCCAGCGGCTGGAACTCGGCGCTGACATCCACGTTGAGTGTGCGACCGCTGGGCAGCAGCTGAAACTGCGTCTGGCCGTGCGGACGATGCGCCTTTGTGTACAGTATGGGCACATGATCTGTGGCCAGCTTTGTCTTCGCCTTGATGCCCACCAGCAGCGGGGAGCCGCGTCGCGAGGCCACGCACTCGCCGGGAAAATGCTTGGATTTCAGGGCAATGGCAAAGGCGCCCTCGATTTGCTGTATGGCCTGCTCGACGAGCTCGCCGAACGTGTAGCCGGGATGCGACTGCCACAGATGATGCACCAGCTTGGCAATCACCTCAGTGTCCGTATCCGATTCAAACACATAGCCGCGCTTCTCCAGCAGCGTCTTAACGTCCTTGTAGTTTGTTATGATGCCATTGTGCACCACCACAAAGCTGTTCTCCACATCCGAGCGCTGCGGATGCGAATTCAACTCGGAGGGTACGCCGTGCGTGGCCCAGCGCGTGTGCGCAATGCCGATGTGTATGTCCACGGGCTGATCATAGCCTGCGCCCTGGCACTGCTCCGCAATTGCATCCTCGAGCACTTTGACTTTGCCAGTGCGTTTCACCAGGAGAATATCGTTAGCATCGTTGGGTGAATCGATCGCCAGGCCAGTGGAATCATAGCCGCGATACTCGAGACGCTTCAGTCCCTGCACCAGCAGCTCCAGCACCTGCTGACGCGACTTTGGCGTCAGATAGTTTAGGTAAGCGAAGATTCCGCACATTGCTTGGATGATTGATTTGGTTCTACTTGTTGCTTAATGTTTGGGCCACGTCTACGTCGCTCTGCTTCGTAATATAAACTGCGTCGACAATGCGATTTCGTGGAATTTTTTCTTTGAGTGATAAATTGTTGGCCGCACACACACCCGCATACACATATGCACACACACACACACACACACCCACAACCGTAATCAAGCGGCAGCAGCTGACGTGCGCAATGTAAACAAAAAGCGTTGCATTCGCTAGCTGTTGTTGCTTTTGTCATGGGGCGTAGTGGTGAACGCTACTTAATACTAACAGCTTCTATGGAGAGGCTTATGCAGTTCTCGGACCTGTCCAATATTTTGAAGACAACGCGTAAAAACTGAATTTAATTTGATTTTAAAAACAACGCTAAAGAACAGCGGCATTTGCAGCGTTGCCATCTCTCCAGTAATATGCATTGCCTGTGAATGACAAACAGCTTATCGATATGTTTTGCACGAGCACGATATTAACAACAGCCCTGCTCTTTTCCTTTTCGACCGCGACGGGTAAAAAACCACATGTCTTGCTCGGTATCCGAGAATTTGTAAAATTATGCTGCATAGTGCTGTTAAAACATAAACAAGTGCTTCGTGTCAACTAGTAACTGAATAATATTGCAATTTGTGACAATCTGTGTGTAATAATTCCATTCGAGCCAATTCGTAACCAAAAAAAACGTTCTAACTACCAACCCACCAGCGCGTGAGTGAGCGAGCGAGAGCGATTGATTACGAGTGCGAAGAGTACGGAAACCGCAAAGCAAAGCATACGAAATAAAAACAACAACAACAGCAGCAAAGCATACGTGAAACGTTAGCAAAGCAACGAGCAAAGCAAAAAGTCGAATTGTGTATTAATTTTTGTTGTTGCTACCGTGTTGTTTTCGTCTACTTGCCGTCACGATACACGTACACACATATTGTGATTTAAGTTCTAGGTGCGTATTTATTGTTTATTAAAAAAAAAAAAAAATGAAATACATTTGTGTGAGTGGGCGTGCTGATAAATGTGTCCATTTGAAATTTGAGATTGGAGAATATAGTGCAGCAGTCGTTGGCAAGCTGCATAAACAGCTGTTCGCTTTCCAGGGATGCAATAAATGCAATCGTTGTTGTTGCATAACCATGGCTGCGGCTTCTGCTATGTTGCCTTTGGGAATTCTTCCTCAGCAAAATGTGTTTTCGCTTTGTGCAATTCATTAAGCTTTTTTGTGTATATTTTGCTGTTCTATTTGCTATTGCGTCGTATTCTAAATTATGTTGCTAGTCGCATAGCTGGACATTTTAACACAAGTTGGCAGCACCGCAACTAAGCGCTTGTTGCTTTTTGCGCTGCTGCTTCGTACTAGTGTGGGGGGCATTCGCGACTGTGACTGCTGCTTCGCCGCGCCTTAACCTCACTTGTAACACTGTGTGGCTGCATAATATTATACTTCAGTTGCGTTTTGCTATCAATTGAATGTGCCTCATTAGCAGCGTATAATGCACCATTTCTGAGGCGAAAAACAGCGCATAGTGACGACGTCGAAAATACTCCATTTCTAAAGAAGCGTGAAAATTACAAAATTCAAGTTGTGATTTTGTATGTGTTTGTGTTGCAGCAGTAACCGCAGCGCAGCGCAGCAGCAGCAGCAGCAGCAGCCACCAGCATCAGGCGTGGCGCGGTGCGGGCAGGGGGTTATGGCCCATTGCTAGTGCAAACGTAAGCCGCATGCAGGTGCTTTCCTGTTAAAGTTTTTCTCTTACTCTCTGCTCCGCTCTTGCAAAGGTCGATGTGCAAATATGTGTGTATGCGTGTGTGTGTGGGTGTGTGGTATGGAAGAAAAACAAACACATTAATGTTGTTCTTTACGCTTTGCAAATTTACAGTTACAGCAGCGCGTTTGTTCGAACTCGTTGATATAATTATTGTCTGGCAAGGAAGCACCAAAGAGTTTCCCCATCCACCAACAAGAACGACCGAAGAGCATCCGCAGCCGAGCCGCAATCTGGAGTAGCGCAACGAGAGCTGCCTACTCAGAGAATAGCAGCAGTAGCAGCAGCAGCACAAGCAGTAGGAACAACAAGATCCAACATGTCCAGCAGCAGTAGCAAGGATGATGCCTCTGCATCGAATGCCGTTGCCGCTGTCGCTGCCGTTGCAGCTGCAACAGCCAATGCAGCAACTGCATCATATGCGAATGTTGTCCAGAATCTGGATAGCAAGAAGGCAGTTGCCGCTGTGGACAACAAGGAGAATCAACCGAATTTGAAAACTCTCAAATCGTGGAGTGAGGAAACCGCTGCCGCTGAGGCCGCCGTCGAGGATTTGCCCAATGTGGGCGAGAAACGTGCCGCCGCTGGCGGCGACAATACTGCTGAGAATTCATCTGAATTGGACGACAATAATGACTTTCTGCCTGTGCTATCATCGCATCATCGGCGCGATCGTAAAAAGGCACGCAAGGATAAGCCGACAACGCGCGAATTTCGTGACAAGCAGCAGCCGCTAGCTGCTGGCAGTGGCCCTGGTCCGGTTCAAGGTCAGGGTCAGGGCCAGAAACTGGCGCCTGGTCGGCGTCCGATCGGCGGCAACGAAGCTGACGGCCGCAAGCAATTGGGACGTCCCCGAGCGCCACGCGGCAACAGTCCACGTAAACTGACGGCTGTGCCGGGCACCAGCGGCAACGGCAACGGCAAGACCCAAAAGGAACGCAAGGCTGATACCTCACCCAGCGCCAGTCTGGAGGCTAGCAACAGTGGCAACGAGACCAAATCCGGCGATCCCGATGCCCAGACAGTCGCCTCCACTGCAGCAGCGCCAGCTGCGCCCCAGCCAAAACGCTTCGTAGCAGCGCCGCCGCCAAAGGTTAACGCCTGGAAGGTAAGTCGATTCTCAAATTATTCCACACATAATCTTGAATTGCATTCCATCAATCATCTTTGTGCTAAGATCGTTAAACCAATGGAAATGGGAAGAATAATGACGATCTTGATGCAACACTTAAGTTTCTTTAAGCTCTTTCTATGCAATCAAAATAAAATGAATTAAAAGAAAAGTATATTTTTGAACAAATTGTAGAATGTTAAAACATGCCAGGAGTAAAAATGTTCAATGCATTGCGTATTGATTCTAATTTCTGGATAATCTCTCTATTTTTGAGCACTTCCAATCGAAATTTTTAAAAGAATTTTAGTTCTTGCTAAATAGTTAAAATATTCCATATTATAGTTGGCATATAAATTCGATCATTTTGAAATATAAGAACAATATATTTAATGTCATTTTCCATGTCCACATGCTTGCAAAATGACGGCATACTTGTGGTACACCAAATCAAAACAAAGAGCGATAGGCAGGAAGGGGGGAAGGTAGGGAGGGAGGAAAGCGAATGCCCATAAACGACATTGTTTTTGTATTGTTTGTTGATCTGTTGGTAAACAAATATGCGTAGAATGGCATAAATGTAGCTAGAGAGAGAGAGAGAGAGAGAGAGAGAGAGAGAGAGAGAGAGAGAGAGAGAGAGAGGGAGAGCAAAGCATAACAACTGATAAACACAACTGCAAAACGAAGACAACAAACAGACACAAAACATGAGCATGGAAACACGTTTTCTTCTTCATTGTTACTTTTAATATTATTATTATTATTATTATTGTTATTGTTGCTGCTGCTGTTGTTATCTTGATATTTATCCAAACACGATAACAAATTGATATTATAGCTGTATTAATTGTTTTTATCATATTGCATAATATGAAATAGAAACATATCGTTAAAACCACGCGAAAGCAAAAACAAAAGAACACAAATGTTGGCATTTGTGTTTTGTCTTGCTTTATTTTTTTATTTTTATTTTTTTGCGTGTTATGCAATATACGAAAAACGCGAAGCCAACACCGGCAATTGAGACGTCAAACCCCATGAAAAGTACGCCCACAATAATAACAACAACAACAACAACAACAGCGCAAGTCGTGCTCGCAATCGGTTGTTGTCTTTTGTGCTGTCTCTTCGCATGCAGCTAATAAATACGAGTGTCTGACTAAATAATTCGATTGCTTTATTACATTGTGTCCTCTTTGTTTTATATTTTGAAATTCATTGCTTTTTGTGTTTTGTATTTATCAAACGGCAAGCAAGAGAAAACGTAAAAAAAAATGTACAGTTAAAAATAAATGTCAAGGTCAGCAGCGCTGGCATCGTTGACGCCGGCTGCGGCGTCAACGTCAGCAATTGTAGTTTGTTGTTGTTTATCCAACACAAAAACGTGGAGAAAGAGCAAACAGCAAAAATTTATGATTTGGCTTCCACGAGCGAAAGAAGTGCAGCAACAGCAGAAACTAAAATAAAAAGTGCTTAAAAAGGTGTGGCAAATAATTGCATTTGTATAGTATATGTGTGTGTATGCATGATATACACACATATACACATATAGACAATCTCTCCAAACGAAATCAAAGCAGAAATGTAGTTCTCTCCACCTTTTGAAACATGAAATGCTGCATAGAATCATTTTGTCTTTAACAATCAAAGTTTAATGATTTATTAACAACATCAAATAATGTTAACTTCATTATTGATGTTTTTCAAATTGCTTGAACCTACCTCGCACTTTTTTGGCCTACAATATGCAAATAGTATCATGCAAATTAGGCTAATTAAAGAAGCTTGAAGCTTATTTTATAAAAAAAAACATTCGCGCTGTTGCCGAGGTGAACACCTTCTTCATAGCAACAACAACAACAACAGTTACTCTCGCTTTTGTTTCCGTTTGTTGTTGCTATCTTTGGCTGTCACACAGGTTTTGGCTTCTCGCCGTGGCGGGTGTTGTTCTTGTTTTTAACTACCTACCGACGTCGCGTCAAATCAGCCGCTGCACCGAAACGAAACGCAGCGCTCTGCTGCGAATTCAAATCAGAAAGTAAAGCGACCAGTTGACGTGTGCCATTACAGACGTTCGCAACGGTCGCGTCCGTCAGTAGCTTGTGTTTTTGAAAACTCTCAACATCATTTTTAGCCACATATGACAATACAATAAAATACTTAGATATAAATAAACAAACAAATAAACGGTCACCCTAATTCGTTAACTATTCAAATTGGGCAGCACGTGTGC